GCCACTGGCACTTTCTTTTCAGGAACAACTTCTTTGGGAGCCTCAGGCACTTGAAAGATATTAGTGAAATTATATTTAGGCATTATGAAGACCACTAGAAAAATATTTTCCAGAGCAGAATAGATCTTCTGAAGCCTAAAGTTAGTGACAAATACCTTTAACAGGGGGGACTTCAGGCTTTTTAGGAGGAGCCACTGGCACTTTCTTTTCAGGAATAACCTCTTTGGGAGCCTCTGGCACTTAAAAGATATTAGCAAAATTACATTTAGAAGTTACGAAGATCACTAGAAAAAATATCTTCAAGAGCAAAAGAATGAGATCTGAAGCCTAAGGTCAGTGGCAACTACCTTTAACAGGTGGGACTTCAGGCTCTTCAAGAGGAGCCAAGGGCACTTTCTCTTCGGGGATAACCTCTTTGGAAGCTTCTGGCACTTAAAAGATATTAGTGAAATTACATTTAGGTGTTATGAAGACCACTAGAACAAAATATTTTCAAGAGCAGAAGAATTAGGTCTTCTGAAGCCTAAAGTCAGTGACAAATACCTTTAACAGGTGGAACTTCAGGTTTTTTAGGAGGCACCACCAATACTTTCTTTTCCGGGATAATCTCTTTGGGAGCTTCGTGCACTTGAAAGATATTAGTATTTTTACACTCAGAAAATACAGAGATGACTAGATAGATACACAGACATTTTCAAGAACAAAAGAGCTCTTCTTTTTCCCCTGAGCCTGAGATCAGTGGTAACAAGTTCCCATAATAGGTGACGTTTCAGGTTTTAGAGGAGGAACTTCTGGTACTTTGTTTTTGGTAGCCATTTCTTTGGGAGATTCAGGCAGTTTGAAGATATTAAAACATTTACACTTGAGTCACAAGAGTCAACACAGACATGATTCACATGTACACATCAAAATAATCTTCAAGGCTGGAAAGGTGGTCCTTTCTATCGCCCCACCCACTATCCCACCATAAGGGGACAGTTAAGAATGTACCTTTGACAGGTACAACTTCAGCCTTTTGGGGAAGATGCATTTTCCTTTCCGTGATAACTTCTTTGAGAGCCTCCGGCACTTTGAAGATATGAATAATTTTACATTTAGAAGTTACAAGAATCAACACAATCAAGAAACACATTTATACAAGAAAAGACATTTTCCCACCCCTCTAAGCTTCCAGCAAGATATACCTTCATCAGGAAGGACTTCGGGCTTTCTGAGAGGAACCACAAGCGTTTTCTGTTCAGGGACAATTTCTTGAAGAGCTTCAGGCACTTTAAGAAATTAGTAGTTTTATGTTTAGTGTTATGCAGATCACTAGGAATAGCAAAAATATTCTCAAAACTAGAAGAGCTAGTTCTTGACCCTGAGAGCATGGTGACTTGTACCTTTAACTGATGGGGGTTCTCTTTTTTTGGAAGGAACTCTCTTTGCAGGAGTAATTTCTTGAGGAACTTCGGGCACTTGAAAGATATTAGTAGTTCACATTTAAGAATTAAAATTATTAATGGAAAACAGTAACCACAATAAGTCAGCAAATATAACCACATTTTCTTCTCTTTCCTCCATCCTCCCTTTGCTCAACCAATAGGCTTAGTCTTTTAAGGGGTTAGTGGATCCTTGAGAAGAGGTGCTCCCCCTCCTCCAGAACCTCACAGAGTTCTTGCGACACTTTACACTCTCATTATAAAGGATTTGTTGAATGAATACTTTCAGCAGGAGGGTTTTCTGTTTCGGCAGAAACAGCCACAAATATTTTCTTTTTAGAGGAAAGTTCTTGTGGAACCTCAGACACTTTAAAGATATTAGTATGTTTATATTTAGAATTTATGAAGAGTATTAGAAAAAAACATAGTTTTAAGAGCAGAGGACATAATTTCTTCTTCCACATTTGTTCAGGGTGACGTACTTTTCATACGTGGAGTTTCTGGCTCTTCAGGTACATCCTCAAACATTTTCATTTCAGGAACAACTTCTTTCATAGCTTCAGGTGCTTTGAAGATATTAGTATTATGGTTAGAGGTTAAAAGGATCAGTGGAGACATTAATTAAATGAGCTGAACCAAAGTGATTTTTATGGCTACAAAGATGATTCCTTTAAAGAATCTGAGAAGGTATAAAATCTTGAGGAGAGGAACCAAATATTAATTGTCTTTGTTTATTATTCTCCAGTTCCCTAGCACCCTGTACATAGTAACCACTACTAAATATTATTAAATGAAGGAAGGGATGACAGGATGAATGATACCTTTAGTGAGAAGTATTTCAATTTCAAGGGGAGCAGCCATGGGTGTTTCCTTTACAGGGACAACTTCTCGAGGTGATTCAGGCAGTTTAAAGATATGAATGCATTGTACTTTGGAGTTATGAAGAGGAGTAAAGAGTTTCCATCATAACTGCACATGCAGAACGTTCCAGATGGGAACCTTCTCCCACTCCCTGCCCCCAGAATCAGATTCTTTTGTAGCAGTGTTTTTGGTTATGAGTGGCTGTTTTCTTGGTCACCTCAGACACTATCAATATTAGTAATTTTATTTCTTGGAGTGGTAGATGCATAGAAAATTAGATCATGGAAAGTGGAAACATTGATTATAATTAATGCTATACCTCTGGCTATTACATTGAGAAAAACAAATTACAGCCACTTTGAAAAATCTAGGTTGGCTTTTTTTTGCATCTACACCTTCGACACCTTAAAAAGGTGAATGTTTTTCCAGTTTAGGAGAGGGGAGAACAACCAAAAGATTCCAGACTGAGAAAAAATATCAAAATATTCAGATATTCTTTAAATTACAGAATACCATGGGTGTTATGATGCAATTATTGTTCCAGAGGTTTTAAAGCTTTTCCATGTTTTGACTTATCTAAAGATATTCAAAATGAAAAAAATGTATGATGCTTGAAAAATAAAAGGCAATGAGAGGAGCAAATGAACACTGAGGGGAGAGTTCCAGCTTTAACTGGAATTATTTTTGCTTTGGTTGGAGGATATTCTGGGAGGTGTTCTAATCTTGTAGAGATATTACAGATCAACTTCACACTGAATTAAATATTTTCTTTTCTTTAAGACATGTTTTGATCATAATGTGTGTATATATGTTTTCTCTGGAGTCCTCTTGAAAATACACTGAGTCAACTATCTTTCATGTGTATAAGTTAAAGGCATTTTTCCTCTATTGTATCTTGAGTGACTCACTGGGACATGTATACATTTGGGTGAGCTTCTACTTGGGGGATCCATCTATGAAATGATTTCCTCTGTAGCCACTGTGGTTTAAAAGATATTAGTATTTTTACATGTGTTAAGTACAACTGCAAACATGAGATTAAAAAGCTGACTTTCTTCCAACTTGTACCTGTTGGTGATGGTGTTTTTCTTCTTTTAACAATAGGAGTTTCTTCCTCTGGAATGGCTTCCTTGAAGACTTCAAACTCTTTAAAGATATTAGTATTTGTTTTTTAATTGAGAAAAGGCAAAGGCATAAAGACATGACATAGTAAGAAAGTTAAATTTGTTAATATCATTTCAGAGATCTTTATGCTAGAAATGTTATTTTTGTTCTAATATTTTATCTTTGTATATTATATGTGTGGGATTTGACTTTCTTGGGGGCAAGTCATAGATCATTCTTTTTTGTAGGTGTATCAGATCCTTTAAAGACAGTATTTTAACATTAGAGGTTGTGAGAATGTATATTAAACATTAAACATTTTGCAGACTGAAGACAGTATATTTTCTTCTTTAGATTTTCCTAACTAGAGAATTATACCTTCAGTTGGAGGATGTTCTGGAATTTCAGGAATAGCCTCAGGTACCTCCACCTCTGGAAAAACGCCTTTGGTTGTATCAGGTTCTTTAAAGATATTAGTAGGTTTACATTTAAAACTTGTAAAAACAGTAATTTATATAAAGCATGCAATGTTTGAGTCATAAAGCCAAAGATATTCATCTGGGTTTGATGTATTTGAAATATACCTTTCGTTGCTGGTGTTTCTCTCTTTTTAGGAATAGTCACATATATTTTGTCCTCTGGAACAACTTTCTTGGGTGGCTCAGGCACTTAAAAGATATGAGTATAATTATATTTATAAATTGTGAAGAAACATATGGAGCTTTTTAACAGGAGCCAAAAAATAGTTTTTCTTCAGACTGGATCATTGTTATATACCTTTTGCTAGTTTGGGTTTTGTCTTTTGAGGTTGAGTCACAAGTACTTTTTCTTCTAGGTCTGCTTCTTCAGATGCTTCATAAGCTTTAAAGATATTAGTATTCAAATAATTAGGATGTTTCAAGGTGGATAAAGAATTGTATTAAGAAAAATGTAATATATAATACCACATTCATCACCAAAATTAATAGTAGTACATAGAGGCGAATTAGTGGCTAGAATCCATTGGCTGGGGATAGCCTCATTCCCAGTTTCATGATATAAGACTGTAAGCATTTCTCTATGATCATGATAATAAAATGGATGAATTGTTCAGGCAAGGACTATATAATTCTTCATTTTGCCTTGAGAAAGTTATTGGTAAAATTGTCCTATTGGTCTTATTTTTAATGGATTTGTTCATAAAGAACAGGGAAGATACTGAATTGCACATTGAGAATTCTCCTGTATTTGACCTACTAGAAATTCAGTAAGTCTTTTCCCTTTCTAGAAGCTTCATTATTTATATTTTCAAATCACATCTAATATATGATTTCACAATTTAATATGAATGTAAAAGCCATTTAGGGCTTGGAGGCAGAAAATTTAAAAAATTAATTATTTAGAAAATAAGGCAAATAAAGACAACAAAAATTTCTCCAGTTTTTAGAAGAAAAACTGGCTGAAAACAATAACTAAAGTCAAGAATAGAAAGAATATTCAAAGGAGGAAGTGATTATATTCTTTTATCCCAACTTAGTATATATAACAGGATGAACAACAAAAAAGTTGAGTTTCATCAGGAAATTTTTTAGATTTAAAAAAATGGAAGAGGGCTGGGTGTAGTGGCTCATGCCTATAATCCCAGCACTTTGGGAGGCTGAGGAGGGTGGATCACCTGAGCTCAGGAGTTTGAGACCAGCCTGACCAACATGGTAAAACCCCATCTCTACCAAAAATACACAAAATTAGCCGGGCTTGGTGGTGGGCGCCTATAATCTCAGCCACTTGGGAGGCGGAGGCAGGAGAATAGCTTGAACCCAGGAGGCAGAGGTTGCAGTGAACCAAGATTGCACACTCCAGTCTGGGTGCGACAGAGTGAGATTCCATCTCAAAAAAAAAAAAAAAAAAAAAAAAGGAAGAATATTTTGACTACTGTCATTTTTACTATTCAGGTTGTTGAACAGTATTCTATTCACAATATTTTACTATTTGGATTATTTCATCATTCAAATTATTTAATCCTAATTTTGTATCAAAGCAAAAAAAAAAAAAAGTATTGAGAATTCTTTTGAGGTTTGAGTGGCCTTGTAAACCTATGGTCCTTTGAGCAGTTTTGCCAAATGGTTTCCAATTATGGTTGTCAAGAGTAAAAAAATAATAATAGTGAAACATTTTGATTTTATAAAATCCAATTAAAATATTGTTATGGAGTTAAAGTAAGTTACTTCATGATCTGAGAAAATAAATTGCTTCAAAGCAGAAGACACTTGCATACTGAATAGGTTAGGAAAATTTAACAAGACAAATGACTTTTCTAAAATCACACACTACGGTAAGTATAGTATTTCTTTTTTAAATTGGTGAGGAAATATAGTTTGTCTGAAGATAGTAGACACAAAGATTATTTGAGTCATATTTTTGGCATGTTAGGCTTTTACAAGAGTTTAGTGTATTTACTTTTCAAAGCTATAAAGACTAACACAGTGAATTTAAGGACACGAATGAAACCAAAAAGAATCACTAATTTTTCTACACTCACTGTACATCTCTGTGTCTTCAGAAATAACAATAGGTGATTTTTCTTCTTGAATACTTTTCTTAGGCATTCCAGGAACTTTAAAAATATTAATTGTTATAAATAACAAATATAAGATACAAAATACAAGGATTTAATGTCACACACATTCACTTTAAACCATGAAAAACTAAACCAAGAGTTATTTCATGTTGTGATTAGCATCACTGTATACCTTTAGCTGGTGGAACTTCAGGCTTTTTAGGAACAGCTTCACGAACTTTTTCTTCTGGGACAATTTTCTTGGGTACTTCGGGTGCTTTAAAGATATTTATTTATCTTAGTTTTTCAGAACATTATCGTTGGGTGTAAACATATCAAGCCTAGAAGGGGCATCTAACAAGGAGAACGTCAAAAACCCCCCAATTATAAGTCAACTATAAGTCAAATGTAGTCAGTGCATTTCTCTGAATTGCCTTGTCGATGAGTTCTTGATTCATTATATCAGAAACACTTTGCTTTTTGGAGATAGTATCATTTTCTATTGTCATTTAGAGCGCACTTTTTTTTTTTTTTTTCAGAGCTACTTCAGAAGAGCTTCCAAAATGAATCATTTTTGAAAGAGAAGTTTGAGGGATCAATATTATTTAGTTATTAAATAAGAGGATCAATACAAATGATAACTTTGGGCTTATGTCTTTATGCCTAAAGCATTGCCTCAAAAGACAGGATTATGTTATAGAACATAAATTGAAGTTTATGTCATCTTGTGGCATTGAGAGGAGAATGGTCTCTCTTACATAGTAAGTGAATAAAAGAGGATTTTACATTAATGATGAATCAGAAAAGGCAGTTACCTTTAGTTGGTGGAACTTTGGGTTCTTCAGGAACACGTACTTTTTCTTCTACCACAATTTTCTTAGGCACCTCTGGTACTTTAAAGATAATAGTAATAATTTCTTTTATTTTTAAATATTCTTTTAAATATGCAATTTTTTAACAAGCAGAGCATAAGAGAGATATAAACACAGAACAGAATGCAGCGACAATATAAAATACAGGCATCACTTTATCAAATACATTACAGTATTTCAAATGCATTGAATTAAAAAAATATATATTAACAAGAATCCAGGGGAATTTCACATGTTAGAATGGTAAGAACTTGAGAAGAAAAATTAACAGTACACCTTCAGGTGGTGCTATTACTGTTTGTTTTTGTGGAAGAGTTGGTACCTTCTCTTCAGTGATAACTTTCTCACATGTTTCAGGGACTTTAAAGATATAAGTTTATATTATTTATTGTATACTTTTTTATTTCTATTGTGAAATTTAAGAGATTTACAAAAATGAACAAAGTAGGAACATTAAACACATATTCACTATGTATTTATATTTGCCAGGTTAATATAATTAATAATAAATAGAAAAACATGTGTGTATCAGCAAGCATGTTAGTGAATATGTAATCAAACAGCACCAAAGAAGGAGACCTGGGCTCACTATTTGGTTACTAGAGATATTTGCTTTGGTTGTTTTAGGTATAACAACAGTGACTGTCTTTTTTTGGGAGAACTTCCCTTGGACCCTCAGCTGCTTTAAAGATATTAGTTTGTTTTAGACATGTCAGAAACAAGAAATACAGAAGAAAGACATCAAGTGGAATGCAAACTTGTGCTTATAAAGTAACCAAGGTGCTATCGTATGTAAAGTTAAGTAGTAATTTTTCACCAAGTAGATACCTTTAGCTGGTGGCTCTTTTCGAGGAACAACTTTAGTGGGCGGTTTTTTTGGAGGGATGATTTTCTCAGGTATCTCAGGCCCTTCAAAGATATTAGTATTTTGGTTTAGAATGAACTTTTGAAGTATTTTGGAGCACTACTACTAAAGTTAGTACAATGAGGGGTCACAAAATTCTTTATATTTGTTGAATTTATAACACATTTATTTCCGAAAGAGCTTTGATTTGCTAAATATCATGTATATTGTAATTTTCTATATATGCTAAACACATACACACACATATTCCTTCATATTGCATATATATTATTAATTTGTGCAAGATCTAGAGTGGTATTGCAGATAACTTATTTGTGCTATGGTTTGTCTTCATAGTATGCTAGAATACAGGTGCCATTAACAATATTTCAGTTCCTTAATGTTGTTTCTCTAATAAAAGTATCATAAACTGGCAAAAGCTTTTGATAAGTAATTCTCAGTTTGTGAACAGTTTGACTGAAATGTGAACAAAGCAGTGGTTATTTTGCCTGAGCATGTAAATTCCTCAGTGAACTGAGGAGTTTCTTTTTCCTTTAACCAATGACACTGGTCAGTTATTTTGGTACCTGTAACAATTGTGTAACATTCTTAGTCAAATTTAAAAAATAATCTCCAAATTCATACAGTGACCTCCTTCGATAAGTAGATCTCAAATATTACTATCATCTACTAAAATTATACTCCGTGTGGTTAAGAGATATTAATCTTCATGTCAACTAGTTTAAACTCAAGTTTAAAGTATTTTATGGGGTTTCTAATCTTCCAAACTGAACACAAAATTTACTTTCAAAGGAAAGTTAGAGCAAGATATAAGAATTTGTATTATTTGAAGAATTCCCTATACCTTTAGGTGGAGCTTTTGGTTTTTCATATACTTCCACTTCTTCAGCCTCAAAAACTTCTATTACCCTATGTACTTCTTCAACTCTGTGTTCTTCTTCAACTCTATGTTCTTCTACTTTGACGAATTCTTCTACTTCATGAAACTCATCTTCTTCAAAATATTCTTCAACTTCATGGAACTCTTCTTCTTCTGGAATTTCTTCCACTTCTGCTTCTACTACTTCTAATTCTAGTCTTTCTTTTACTACTTCCTCTTGGTGGAAGGCAACTGATACTTTTTCTTCAAGGACAGTTCTCCCTGAAAGAGCATCTATTTTAAAAGACTTATTTTTTTAAACACTGAAGAAATAAAGATGTACATTCAGATATATATTTTTAAAACTGAATAAAGGCTTGCATGCAACAATACATGAAAATCCAAGATCTTTTCAAAAATACCTTTAGCTGGGGGAATAGCTTCTTTTTTATGCACAAGGACTTTCTTTTCTGGGACTTTCTTTTCTGGGACTTTCTTTGGTACTTCAGGCACTTTAAAGATACAGTTTTAATGTTTAGGACTGTCGAGAGCAAGCTTTCATAGACAAAAGTCATCAAAAGCAATCAAGACACAGAGACATGAAACATAAAAGTCTTAACGCAAAAAGACAGAAGAGGAAGTCAGGTTTAAAAGAGAAGATGTACCTTTGGCTGGGGGTGCCTCTTTTTTCTGGACAGGAACAGGTACTTTTTCCTCAGGAATTTTCTTTGGCACTTTAAAGATATTAGGTGTTTTAGTTAGCTGAGAATGCTTAATAACACACATGAAATAAAAACACCAGAGACAACACCAACGTTACAATAACTAAGGTTTTTCAGAAGTCACTCCGTACTGTGGGACATCCATTTTAGAGGCAATAAAGCTACTTTCTCAAATCACTCATTTGTCCTAACATTCCTATAGAGGAAGAAATGTCCACCAAGTACCTGTGCCATTCTTTTTTTTTTCTTTTAATAACAGGGATTACCAATACGAACCCACTTTTACTATTTTTAACTTGATGAAGGCTTTTTTGAAGTGATTACCATTGTAGAGTATTTAAGCCCTGACACTGGCCTCACTTTCTGCTGTGCACTCTTATATTAGCTGAGGAGTCTGCTGTGACAGGGACAGCATAATCTAACTGCTTAAGAGCACTGTCTGAAGCATTAAGTGAATTAGGAAGCAGGGAAAAGTAGACATTTTGTAATAACCTTGAATGCTTGGGTTAAACATTACAAAAGGGATGTGAGGCTCTTTAAAATGGTTATTATCCAAGCATTAGATTTTTTCCATAAAATAATAAATATAGTAAAATAATTATTATAACACATACGGAAACGCCACTTATGGAATAATCCAGAATGTGGGGAAGAGGGATCCATTGCTATGTGTATAAGTATTGAGAGACATACTAATACATTAAAATTCTCAGCTACTTAAGAAGCTTCTAGAATAATTCATACATAAACACATGTACACAATTATTCGTTAACATCCTAGAAAAGATTAAAGAACTGGAATGAGTTATATTTTTACTGGTCCTTAATCAGTTCGCTATCTAAATGATTATAAGAAAGCAGTCAAAAAAGACAATGTTGCTTTTTAGAAAGAAAATTAATGGGAATTTAAAGATATTAATAATGAGGATTTGATATACCTTTAGCTGGTGGTGCCTCCACTTTTTTAGGAACAGGAGTAGGTGCTTCAGGTACTGCTTTCTTAATCACTTCAGGCACTTAAAAGAAATTTTATGAACATTTTGAAAAGTGGCATGTGATAAGCAGACCACCACCCATATACCAATAAATAAATAAATATCACAAAACATTGACTTATTTTTAAAAGATATTAGCAACCTAAATGGTAATAATAAATGTGGAGTAGGAACCCTAGAGGTGTAAAGGATATTACTTAGAAATCCTATAAGCAAATATAATACCAGTTACGCAAAAGATTATCACACTCTTCAGGAATAATAAGTTAAAGATTTTTCTAAAAAATGAACACTTTCACCACAGAAATAGATTCCCGTCATATTAATATTGAAAACAAAATTAAGGATTGAAATCTAGGAGAAACTATTACAGTAGGGCCTGGTCAGAAAAAAATTAAATCGCCAACAACAAAATAGTAATCTCTCATTCTTAGTTGTATTGCACATGCTGTAGAAAAATTTAGGGTAAAAAAAGGACACATAGATTCAGGTGCCAGGAATAATTAATCTTCACTTTATCATGGATATGATAAAGAAAAGCATACTGGTGAGTATTAGATTTAGATAACTTCTGAGAAAGATTTGGAACACCGAATGTTTTAAATGTTCAACTCTTAAAAGCGGCTATACCTCTAGGTGGTGCCACCTCTTCAACTTCCTCTATGCTAGGTAGTTCTTCTGGGATTTCTTCTTCTGGAATAGGCTCTTCTTCAGGCTCCTCAGTCACTTTAAAAAGATTATTATTTTGTAAATTATTTTTATAATTATTCTGAATATTAGACTACAGTGATAATATTGAAAACTGCTCAGCCTTCAAAACACTTGTGT